GAACATATGTGTGAGATAAAAGAACTTTCATATGGTTCTACTCAATAAGTTTTACGTTTTTCTCTTTGTATTTCCACAGTAGCACTCAGCTTGCATTTCAACTGAAAGAAAAATGTGTGTTCATCTATTGTGTATGCACACAATATGTTATAAGGACATCAAATACTTACGTAGGTGGCTTTCAAGTGAAGTAAATGTATTGGGGTAGAAAAAAGGGGAAAAGGTCAAGCTGATGTTTTAAATTCTTAAAATATTGTCCCAGTTGTGTCAAATGACTAATGTTTTCCATTGCTATATTTTTTCATAGTCCTTTCCCGCAGACTCCACTTAGCTCTCATTCTAAGAGCATATTACCTTGTCTGAAAATTCATTATGTCTGTGGGTGGAAGAAAAAAGTACAAGTTATTCTTACAACAGTGGAATTCGTATTTTTAATACCTATCTTGTCTTAAGGGATTGTTTTCTAAGCACACAATATTGAGTTTGAACCCAGATTCCAATATAAAAACATTTTTATCCTTCTAAATTCACAATATGTAAATATAGTGACTGAATAATATAATTTTAAAAATTCAAAGTCTTAAATTATTGCATATTTAATGCTTTTGATTAAAAACACTTTCATACCTTATTTGAATTCAGATTGTGTGTTGTTGCCAGAGAAAGTTGATGAAATGCTACATTTGAGATCAGATGATTTGAATGAAATGGGAACTTGAGGTTTGCAACAAAGTACAAGAATTTTCTCATTGTTTTTTTTATTGATGAAATAGTATAGATCCAGAGGATGGAACATATACTCAAAGATCTGTATTTCTTTATTTCCACAATGATGGCCATGTCCCAAAGGTGCTTTTCAAAAGACAACTGGACTTTCAAAAATCCAGTCACCTTTTGAAAAGCACCTTTGAGACAACCAAGACCTGAATGATTGAGACTCTCCATAGACAATGATAACCATGATTTGTCAGATTGTTTCTAAAACTGATCAGTGACTGATCAGTGACATTTTGTTAAATGTGTAAATTTTATATTCAGATCCAGAGGTCTATAGTGCATACTTCTTGTTTTTCCATGTGTAATTGATTTTCTCAGTAATTGATATTTTTGTAATATTATCAAGTTCCTGAAGAAAAGTGAGCTCTTGTATTTCAACTTTATGTAGCAAAAATTGTTTCTCACCATAATACAGAAATTTATGCAGATTAAGGGAAAATTAACAGCTCAATGACTTCAGTTCAACATATTTCAGATAGATGATAGATAGATAAACAGATAGATAAATAGATAAATGGATGATGGATGGATAAATGGATGGATAAATAGATAGATAGATAGATATAGAAGATGCGCTATATATCTTTTTGAGAGTAGATATTTGTGTAGTTATTTTGAATGCTTTAAAAATGAATATCCAGGCATTTACAACAAAAATCTTAGTAAGATATATTTATGGATTCATCATAACGTGTTCTATTACTGTTAATTTTTATTTAAATACATTTAATGTATTAAATAAATACATACTGTTATTCAATATACAACAGGTTCTTTTGTCAAGTTCAGTAGGTGTTACTCTCAATTAAATATAAATAAATTATAGCAACTTACAATATAACTATATTTTTAATTATAATTCAAATGAGCAAAATATGAAGCATTTTCTCAACCCTTCCATCACACAAATGTGGAGCTCAATAAGGGTTATTTTCAAAGAAGCATAAAAAATGAGATTACAGCTTCTATATAATTAAAAATGCTATAAATAGCAAATACAAACATCCCCTCCTCCAAAAGTTAAACATACTTAACATAATTAATTGTTCTATTAAAATTAAAACTTTATATTAATAGTCAGTCTATTTTTCTATTTACCAAGTATTATAAACCATTGACATTCATTCATACCCTTTCAAGATACTATGCATATTTTGTAATTTCATAGCAATATTGAACAGGGCAGGTCATTATGTGAGGAAGAGGGTAAGACATTAAAAAAAAAAATCTGTGATTTTCAGTCTGTTGTTCTTGATTGATTGGCTTTCTTTCCCAATGGAATTTCAGATTGGCAATTTCTGATCTGAACTGCTGTAGTGTGTGCCTGCTCTTCTTAGATGAAAGATACTAAATATAAATGAAAAGCACTATGATTAATCAAAGTGATATTTTAATTAAGGTATACATCTTTGAGAAGCTGTGTGATGATTTTTAAAATAGCCACATAGCCTAGGGTACCTTGGCCCCAAGCCTTTTTTTTTCCAGTTCCCAAGTCTCTCCCCAAAATCTTGCTGTCAAAGTCAGTTAACCAAAGCTAGCAAGCAAGCAAGCAAACTCCATACTATGCTCTAAAGCTCCTTAAATAGTTCTTCCAATCTGCAGCTGCCGTAGGTTAAAAAAAAGTTCCCATCCATTTGCATGTTATAATCATGACATCACTCTGCAATAATACTCCCCTGTAACTTAAGGTGACCAGATTTTAACATTGGTAAAGAGGGACATTGTGGGCGTGGCTTATTTTGTGGGCGTGGCTAGCTGGTCATGTGACTGGGTGGGTATGGCTAGCTGGTCATGTGACCGGGTGGCCATGGCTATGTCTATAGGGTAAGGTGAACAGATTTTAACATTGGTAAGAAGGACACCATTGTGGGCGTGGCTTATTGTGTGGGCGTGGCTTGGAGGCCATGTGACTGGGTGGGCGTGGCTACCTGGTCATGTGACCGGGTGGCCATGGCTATGTGTATAGGGACTACTCAGAGGGCTGAAAAGTCATTTCTGACAGGTCCTCACACTTTTGACTGGTCCTCACACTTATGACCATCCTCACATTTATGCCAGTGCAGCATTCTTAACAACCATGTCACTCATTTCACAACTGCTTCTCTTCAACATGGTGACAAGATAGGGCAAAAATGTAAAATGTGAGGACAGTCGTAAGTTCGAGGACTGGTCAAAAGTGTGAGGACCAGTCAAAAATAACTTTTTCAGCCCTCTGAGTAGTCCATATGCACAAAAGGACTAACCAGAGAGCTGAAAAAAGTCATTTCTGACAGGTCCTCGCACTTTTGACTGGTCCTCACACTTATGACCATCCTCACATTTATGCCCATGCAGCATTCTTAACAACCATGTCACTCATTTCACAACTGCTTCTCTTCACCATGATGACAAGATAGGGCAAAAATGTAAAATGTGAGGACAGTCATAAATTCGAGGACTGGTCAAAAGTGTGAGGACCAGTCAAAAATAACTTTTTCAGCCCTCTGAGTAGTCCATATGCATTAAAGGATTACAGCAATAGAGAGGGATGAAGGAATGGAAATTAGAGTAGGAGTGAGGGTAAGAGAGGGAGGAAGAGAGGAGGAGAAGGAGAAAGAAAGAGGAAGTAGGGAGGAGAAAAAGAGGGTGGGGGGAAGAGAAAGTAAGAAGGAAAGAAAAGAGAGAGGTGGTAGGTTTGAGGAGAAAGATTGCTATACAATAAAAAAGATGAAAGGGAAGAAAGCCAACCCCAAGCAAATATAAAGATATTAAGATAAAGAATGAATTGTTAAACTTTAAAGAATAAAAGAGAACAAATATGAATAAATAGCAATAATTAGAAACACACATACAAACATACAATGTATTTTCTTTGAACAGAATATTTGGCTGATTCACAAATTTAAACAGCGTTTAGTCATTTCAATTAAATTTACAATTTCTATATTTCCTTTTTGCCATATTTATTCCTCATCTATTTTTTAAAAAAACCAATATTACCCTTCATCCTCATCTCTAATCTTAATCAAATTCAATTTTTCCCTTCTATTCTATATTATACCCCTTCCCATTGTCATCTATTTTTATATCCATCCTCACATTGTTTAATTATGTAATTATGTAATACAGTTGTTTAATACAAATTCAACATTTTAATATAAATCAATTAGTTATAAAACTATCTTTTTTGTATATTAATCAATATGAACATGAATATTCCAATTATTTCCATGCAATCCAATTTCTTACAAATCAATTAATTATATTTACCAATAATAATAAACCAAATAATTTCTCCCATATATTCCTCCGAACCACAACTTAACCATTTCTGCTTTCAACACAATATACAATTAATAGTATCTCAATTATTACAATTCCCTAGTTAAATACAGCTTTTTTTCCTTTGTGTTTTAAAATCTTGAACTCTCCTCCTAAATTTCCCATTGTTTGCAGTTTTTCACCTACCTTTTTTGGGGAGGAAAAATAAAAATAAAAATAAATCTCTCTCTGCCTCATTTTGTCACGCTGCACCAAAGACCCTGGTTTTGGTTTCGTTTCTGAAGCTTAGCTAGGGGGAAAAAAAACTGCTTTACACTGATTGCCTGTAGGGCGGCCCTTTGAAGCCCCGGGCAAGAGTTTAAACAGTTTTTTTTTCTTCTAGCCATCAGCTGGGGCTCAAGAAAAATCGGGACTTTTTTGAAACGCCGCGGGACGCGGGACAAATTGCTCAAAAGCGGGACTGTCCCGCCAAAAGCGGGACGTCTGGTCACCTTACTGTAACTCCCTGTAACTGAATTAATACAGGTGGTCCTCAACTTTCATTTAGTAGCCTTTCAAAGTTACAATGGCATTGAAAAAAGTGAGTTATGACCATTTTTCAGTTACAGCCTTTGCAGCATCCCTAAAATCATGTGATCAAAATTCAGATCTTGGCAACTGGTTCAAAGTTACGAACTTTACTGTGTCCCAACGTCATGTGATCACCTTTTGCAACCCTCTGACAAGCAAAGTCAATGGGGAAACCAGATTCACTTAACAACCGGCTTACTAATTTATCAATTCCAGTGATTCACTTTACAACTGAGGCAAGAAAAGTTGTAAAATGGGGCAAAACTCACTTAACAAATATTTCACTTAACAACAGAAATTGTGGGCTCAATTATAATTATAAATCAAGGTCTCAGCTTTCGCTGCGAACTTGGGTGTGTATGAAAGGATAATGCTACAGCCAGATCTTTGTTTGCTGCATGTAGGTTTAATCAATCTCCAAATCCGCCGTCGACAAAACTGACGCTGATGCTAAAACACATTAAGTCGGTGTTGGGAGCAGCCGCCTCCCAACGCCGTTTAAATAATCGCGCCGGCAAGCCCGGCACTTAAGCCGCCCTTCCGGATTCCGCTGCTTCTGCGTCTGCGCATAATGAGGCATCAGTCTGGAACATCATCAGTATCCATTCAGCATGGCGGTAGGAGGTCAGGGATACGGTGCCTCACATGGCCGCAACGTGACCGACTGCCTACCATGGCGCAAACACCCCCACCACCAGTGTGCACTTCATCCACTCAGCCACCTGCTTATCCCCTCCGCTGAAGCTCGTGCACTCCGCCAAGGCATCTGGAAACCACATAAGCCGTCCCTATCATCTGATGTGTTGAGTGGATCTCGACAGGCGGCTCCCCCTACCAGGGATCCTCCTGTAAAACATAAGTGCACATGTTAAGACCACATTATGGTTTCATGTAAGTCCCTAGGGCCCAGGTTTGTGTGGATATCGCCTATGGAAGAGTTTAAGCAGCCTTTTGGCTTTTACGTCTGTGGCAGAAACCCAGGATGCCTCCTCGAATGGGTAACCTTTCCACCTTACTAGATATTTTAGTTTACCCCTACTGGTTTTTGAGTCTAGAATTTCATCAATTTCATATTGATCCCCCTCTACTGGCCCAGGTTTGTCTGTGTGCTCCTGGATACTGTCCACCGGTTTTAACAAACTACTATGGAACACGGGGTGGACTTTACCCAATAATAGTGGTAGTTTTAGCTCCACTGTAACTGGGTTAATCACCTTAACAATCGGGAAAAGGCCGAGGTATTTGGGTCCCAGCTTACGACTAGGAGCCCTCAATTTTAAGTAGTTAGTTGACAGATAAACCCTCTCCCCAACCATAAATGGTTTGTGGTCTGCTCTCTCTCTTTTTTTTATTGAAAAGTTTTATAGGAAATACAAACATTTTCTCCCCCCCACCCTTCCCCCCTCCCCCCATCCCTCCCCCCTTGCCCTCCCATCCCTCCCCCTTTCCCCCACCCCCTCCTGGTGGTAGGAGGTCAGGGATACGGTGCCTCACCTGGCCGCAACGTGACCGACCACTTACCACGGCGCAAACACCTCCATCATCAGTGTGCAGCCACCCAGCCACCCACTTATCCCCTCCGCTGAAGCTCGTGCACTCCGCCAAGGCATCTGTGTTAGATCAGGCGCAGGAAATGAAGACGTGACCAGCTTGATACATTAAGTAACTTTATTAGCTACAAAGTATAAGACAAGACTGCTGGCGCGCTGCCGGGGCTCTCCTTATATTCGCTCCCGACAGACACACCGCCCCTTGACAGGGATTCAAATCTCCCGCCCGATGGCTAGCAGCCAATCAGGGCGGATGTCCTTATAAGGACATAACACTCCTCCCCCCTTAGTCCGGGAACTGGCAAACTTCGTTAACAAAAGTCACGTAGTCGCGCAGGTACGTAGGACGCCTCGGCACCCTAGCTGACCTGCACAGTCTCACTTGTTCTCCGTGTCCGGCCTGGACGGACGGGGTTCTTTCGTCTCCTGGTTTCCTCCCCGGAACCAGGCTTGGTTCGGCTGTCGAGTGAGCAGGGTCACCCTCAGCGCCTCCGGCCAGACCGCAAACCTTGGATGGCTGGTTCTGGTGGTCTTCCTCCTGGCCTGTGGATCTATCGCCTCATCTCGGTTGCTCGGTTCCAACCCGGGAAGAGCGTCTGAGTCTCGGTAAGTCTGTCGCTTGCTCCTCCCTGGTCTCCCGGGCGCTGCGGTTTGGTTGCGGTCCGGCTGGCTGCCGTCTGGGTGGTGGTTCCGCTCGGTGCCCTCGGGTTCGATCCGCCGGCTGCGGGTTGTGCTGGCTTGCGTTGTGCTGTTCGACCTCGCAGGGGTGGCGTCGGTCTACTCGGTTGGGCTGGCGTTGGTCTACCCGGTCTGGTTGGCGGTGGTTGACCTGGTCAGGGTGTTGTTGCGGGCCTACCTCTGCGGGGCGGCGGAGGTCTCCTCTGCCGGAGTGGTGCAGGTCTCCCTGGCCGGGTTGTTGTCGGCTTTCCCTTCCCCCTAGTCCCTGGTCTACCGCCGGTTGGTGCCTGGGGTCATCCGGGTCGGGTTGTTGTTTCCTGGCTGTCTCCTGAGATGGGCGGGGGTCCCCCTTGCCGGGGAGTCGTGTGCTACCCTCGCCCATGGGTAGAGGGGTGCCCGTCTTGGCTGGGTCCCGGTCTACTCGCCTGGAACTGTGGTCTCCCTGGCCGGGCTGGCATAGGCTGCCGTCACTGGTGGGGTGCGCTGCTCCTTCTCCGGGCAGGTTCCGGTCTACTTGTGGGCTGGGTTGGTGGTCCCTGGTCCTGTTGTGCCGGGTGCCCACTGGCTGGGTTGGTGTTGGCATCCCCCGTGCGGCTGGCCCCGGTCTACCGCGCTGGACTGCCGATGTGACAGTACCTGGTAGTGTGCTGGGCCGACCTTGTCGGGATGGCGTTGCTCTGCCTCGCAGGGGTGTGGCAGGCCTACCTCGTCGGGGTGTTTTAGGCCTACCTCGCCAGAGTGTTGGAGGCCTACCTCGTCTGGGTGTTGTAGGCCTCCCTTGTCAGGCTGGTTTTTGTGTGTTCCCCCCACCTTTTCCGGAGTTGGTCGATGTGACGTCTGCAGACCTGTCCATCTTCCAACTCGACGGTATAGGATTTGGGGCCGGTTGTGCTGGCAATCTTCCCCTTCAGCCACTTAGGAGAGCCGTTGAAATTCAGCGCGAAAACTGAATCTCCGTTGCTGAAGGCGCGAAGCGGGCGGCTGGCAGTTGTGGTCACTTCCGGGCTGTATTGGGGGTGCAGCCGGTCCAAGGGTGACCTCAACCTTCTGCCCATCAGCAGTTCGGCCGGGCTCTTGTGGGTGGTGGCATGCAGCGTGATGTGCTGGGTGAGGAGGAAGTTGTCTATCCGTTCCTGCCAGTCTCCCGGGCCCATCTTGGTGAGTGCCTCTTTGGTGAGCCTCACCATGCGTTCAGCTTGTCCGTTTCCGGCCGGCCTGTATGGGGCAGACAGGGTGTGGCGGATGCCCAGTCCTGCCAGGAAGGACTCCATGGCCAGGGATGTGAGCTGGGGGCCGTTGTCGGAGACCAGCACGTCCGGTAGTCCATGTGTGGCGAAAAGACGGCGCAGGGCTCGGATCGTCGCTTCTGATGTGGTAGATGCCATGGGTACCACCTCGAGCCACTTGGAGAAGGCATCTACCACGATGAGGAGGTGTCGCCCTTGCATCGGACCCGCGAAGTCGATGTGGATCCTCGACCAAGGGTTGCTGGGGGTCTCCCACTTTGCGACTTCGGATTGCGGCGGCGCTGGGCGAACTTCTTGGCACGGGTCACATCTGGAGACCCATTGTTCAATGTCTCTGTCCAGGGAGGGCCACCAGACGTAACTCCGTGCCAGGGCCTTCATGCGGACGATGCCCGGATGCCCTTTGTGCAAGGTCTCTAACGTCCGCCGTTGCAGAGTGCTTGGAATCAGCACCCTGTCTCCCCATAGGAGACAGCCCTTTATGGTGGACAGCTCCTTCTGCTTCCTGGCGAACGGGCTGAACCTCTCTTCCGTCTTTTCCGATGGCCACCCTCTGAGGATCCAGGACTTCACTTGGCGGAGTGTGGGGTCCTTTTGGGTGTGGACGGACACATCTGCGGATGAGACTGGACAGCTGGCATCGTCGTCTATGTGGAATAGGTGGAGCGTGGGGGCTGGGTCTTCGACTGGATTCTTCGATGGGCATCTGCTGAGTGCGTCGGCATTTCCTATGGCTGTGCCTGGCTGGTGCACGAGCCTATAGGAGTAGCTGGCTAGGAAGATGGCCCATCTCATCATCTGCGGGGACATGAAGGTCGGGGTGGGTTGGTCGCCTGCGAGGAGTCCCAGGAGTGGCTTGTGGTCGGTGACTACGGTGAAGCGTCTTCCGTAGAGGTATTCGTGGAAGCGCTTCACTCCTGCCACGATGGCCAGGGCTTCTTTGTCCAGCTGGCTGTAGTTCTGTTCTGCGCCGGACATGGTCTTTGAGAAGTAAGCGATCGGGGCTTCCGAGCCGTTGGGCAGTTCGTGGCTGAGAACTGCCCCCACCCTGTAAGGCGACGCATCACAGGTCAGCTTGATGGGGAGTGTCTCGCTGTATTGGATGAGGACGCTCTTGGACGTCAATAGTCCTTTGATGGCCCGGAATGCTGCTTCCTCTTCCTGGCCCCACTTCCAGGAAGCCGCTTTCCCCAGCAGGCGGTGGAGTGGCTTAGCAACTGTGGCTTTCTGTTTTAAGAAAATGGCATAGAAGTTGAGCAACCCAAGGAAAGCCTGAAGCTCCGTTTTGTTTTTTGGGCTTGGAGCTTCATGGATTGCTTCCACTTTTGATTTGGTGGGGTGGATGCCAGTGCTATCAATGAGATAGCCCAGGAACTCGACTTCCTGTACTCCTATGGTGCACTTGTCCCGCCTGACCCTCAAGTCCTTGGCCATGAACCGCTGCAAGACAAGCCTGAGCCGTTCAAGGAGTTGAGCTCTTGAGTCACCTGAGACAAGCACATCGTCGAAGTAAGGCACCACCCCTGGAACGCCTTGGAGAAGGCGTTCCATCATGGATTGGAAAATGCCTGGGGCAGCGCTGACTCCAAATTGGAGGTGGTTACATTTGAATGCCCCCCTGTGCGTGACAATTGTTTGTGCCTCCGCCGTTTTTTCATCCACTGGCAGTTGCTGGTAAGCCAGGGCCAGGTCCAGTTTCGCGAAAATTGAGCCTGTTCCCAGGGAATGCAACAGATGTTGCACGACTGGGACTGGGTATGAGCTCTGTGCCAACGCCTTGTTGATGGTACAACGGTAGTCGGCGCAGATGCGCACAGACCCATCATGCTTCAGTGGGGTCACAATGGGGGTCTCCCATGAGGCATGATCGATCGGTTCCAGAATGCCCTGGGCGATCAGCTTATCCAGCTGTTCGTCTACTTTCGGCCGCAGGGCAAACGGAACTCGGCGGGGCTTAAGCCTGATTGGGGTGATTCCCTTGTCCAGATTAAAGGAAATTGGCCTCCCCACAAATTTCCCCAGCTTACCATCGAAGACTTCTTTGAACTCTTCGAGGATGGTGTCGAGTTCGTCCCTATGGATTTCGTGGATGCCCTCAATGGAAAGCCCCAGTGGCTTAAACCACTCCACTCCTAACAGGTTCGGTCGGCTGTTCTCCACAATGGTGATGGGCAGCTCTCCGTTAAAGTCCTTGTATTTGATGTGGATGGTGGTTCTGCCCAGGATCCCAATTGGGTTTCCGTTGAAGTCCACAAGCCTCGACTTCGGGGTTTTCAGCTGGGTCTTCTTGCAGGATGGCTTCAGCTGCTGTAGGTGCTGCCAGTCCATGATGGAGTAGGCGGATCCGGAGTCTACCTCCATCTTGCACGGT